AAGTACAATAACCGTGTATAGAAAATGGGAACATCTCATGCCAACTTTTGTATGTTACCACCATCTTCTGCACAATCTTCTTGATATTCTTGTTTGCTTCCTCAACAATGCCATTCATCTTCAGACGATAAGGAGAAGAATTGTGATTTTCAAATTTGAAGCTCTAGAATAGCTCTTTCATTATCTTGTTATAAAAATTAAAACCATTATCCGTGATGGTCCTTTCAGGGATATTGTAATGACACATGATGTTTTTCTTTACAAACCGGGCAACTACCTGCTTTGTTACGTTGGCAAACGAAGTCGCTTCCACCTACTTAGTGAAATAATCAATGGCAACCAGAATGAAGCAAACCCCACTGGAAGCAGTAGGCTCAATCTTTCTGATCATATCAATGCCTCACATAGCAAAGGGCCAAGGAGATGTCAACACATTCAGAGGGATAGGTGGCACATGCACCTTATTAGCATAAATCTGGCATTTATTGCATTTTTTGGCGTATTACAACAATCAGACTCCATTGTCATCCAATAATACCCTGCTCTCAATAATTTTTTGGCCATAGCATGCTCACCAGCGTGAGTACTGAAAGAACCCTCATGAACTTCTTCCATCAACAATTTTTCCTCATTTTCATGAACACAACGGGGCAAGACCATGTCAAAACTCCCTTTGTACAACACATCGTCCTTGTTCAGATTGAAGTTATCAACAAGCCTCCTCAGAGTTTTCCTATCTTTACAAGATGTCGCTGACGGGTACTCTTGATTCTTGAGAAAAAATTTGATATTATGAAACCACAGTTTACTATCTGATACCTCTTCAATTGCAAACACAAAGGCTGGTCTTTCGAGATGCATAATTCTGATCAATGGAACTTCATTCCAAAAATTCACCTTGTACATTGAAGCTAACATTGCCAACGTGTCTTCCATCTGACTTTCAGCCCGAGGCACATGATGGAAGTCGACTTTGTCAAAGAATGACAACAACCTTCTGGCATAACTCTTATAAGGCACCAAATTTTCCTGACAAGTCTCTCACTCTCCCTCGATCTGATTGATTACCAACGCAGAATCACCATACACATCAAGGTTCTTGATTCTCAAATCAATAGCCTCTTCTAATCCCATGATGCACGCTTCATACTCTGCTTCGTTGTTGGTACATATGAACGCCAATCAGGTAGTGAAGGGTATATGAGAACCTCTTGGAGTTGTTCCCCAATTCTATTACCATATGAGTTGATAGCACCGTCAAAAATTAAACTCCACTAAGATCCAATCTCCGGCCTCTCGTCAGGCAAAGGCTCGTCACAATCTTTGGATTTTAAATACATGATATCTTCTCCCGGAAACTCAAACTTCATCGGTTGATAATCCTCAATCGGTTGTTAAGCGAGATATTCTAACAGAACACTCCCCTTGATGGCTTTTTGGGAGACATACAGAATATTGTATTCTGTCAAAACCATCTGCCAACGGGTAATCCTTCTAGTGAGTGTTTACTTCTCAAACCTATACTTAATCGGATCCATCTTTGATATCAATAGGGTTGTGTGGTTTAACATATACTATCTCTAACGCTTAGCTGCCCAAGCGAGAGCACAACATGTTTTCTCCAGCATTGAGTACATCGACTGACAATCAATGAACTTTTTGCACAAGTAGTAGATGAGATACTTTTTTCTACCTGTCTCGTCATGTTAACCAAGCACACACCCCATCGAACTCTCAAGAACCGTAAGATACATAACCAAAGGTCTTCCTGCTATGGGAGGCATGAGTATCGGAGGTTCCTGCAAATATTGTTTTATCTTTTCGAATGCTTTTTAACAGTTTTCATTCCACCTGACTGCTTGATCTTTTATCAACAATTTAAATATTGGTCCACACGTGGCATTAAGATGAGAGATGAACCTAGCAATGTAGTTCAACATCCCTAAGAAACCACAAACCTATCTTTTTGTTTTCGACTCAGGCATCTCTTATATTGCTCTTATTTTGGTCGAATCTACCTCGATACCTCTTTCATTAACAATGAAACCCAATAGTTTACCAGACCTCACCCCGAAGGTACACTTATTCAGATTCAACCTCAGCTTTAATTTCCTTAACCTCTCAAACAACTTCAAAAAATTAACCAGATGCTCTTCCTCCATTTGTGACTTCGCAATCATGTCATCAACAGAGACCTCAATCTCTTTGTGAATCATATCATGAAAGAGAGTCACCATAGCCCGCTGATAGGTTGCCCCAACATTTTTCAATCTAAAGGGAATTACCTTATAACAGAAAGTCCCCCATGGTGTTATAAAAGTAGTATTCTCTATGTTCTTTGGGGGCCATTTTGATTTGGTTGTATCCAGAAAAGCCATCCATGAAGGAAAACACAAAAAATTGAGCAGTATTATCAACGAACACGTCGTTGTGAGGGAGTGGGGAATCGTCTTTCAGGTTTTCTCTGTTTAAGTCTCTATAATCAACACACATCCTGACCTTTCCATCCTTCTTAGGTACAGGAATAATATTAGCAACCCTCAAAGGATAATTTGTCATAGCGAGAAACCCATTAACTAACTTTTTCTAAACCTTTTCTTTGATTTTGACAGCCATCTCAGGTCTCGTTCTTCTCAGCTTCTACTTGACTGGAGGACACTCTTCTCTAAGAGACAAACATTGTACCACGATGTCTGTATCAAGCCCAAGCATGTATTGGTCAGACCAAGCGAAGATATCCATATACTCTCGAAGCATTTCAACCAATCTTCTATTGACACTGTCTTTCAAGGCGGTCCCAATTCTGAGTTCCTTCTTAACATCCTCGGTGCCCAGATTAACAACTTCAATATCCTCCTGATGAGGTACAATGATCCTTTCCCCCTACTTCAAAAGTCTGGCTAATTTGACAGGCAATTCACAATCTCCGTCAATCTCTTCTTCGGCTTGATAAATGGGATTATCAAAGTCATACTGATCGACCTAAGAAACTCAACAAATGTTCTATTTTAGGACACATATGAAAGACTCCAGTTGGATCCATATGACATCTAGGTGTTCTAAAGTTTGTTGATGTGGTGCTCAAGAGATCACATACAGGTAAAGGGCCACATAACTCTCAAAAAGGTATTCATGATGAATGAGAATACGAAGATGATCAAAGGCAAATATCTTGTGGTAGACACCCTTTCTTCATACATTATCATAGGGCGGCCCACACTCAATCTTCTCAGAACAGTTTTGCACACTAGTACCTAAGTAGGAAGTATTTGCTCCTCGACCGAACAATTGGAATAATCCAAGGGTGTCAATTTCACTAATTTGAATGCAGTATGCCCTAAAAATCCATATCATTTTTCCAATATTGATCGAATGATCGAAGGGTCCTCGTGTTATAAGACTATTAGCTTCATTGACACTTTCTCTGATTATACCAAATAAAAAAATCCTTTGGATGCACCCAAGACAAAATTCATGCCTAACTATTTGGATTAAAGAACACATGCACCATCTATTACAGGCTAATCGATGTGGTGTTCTCATACTAAATTGGATGAATTTTTGAGGTCTGCATCGACAATATGAATGGGAAAACCCTTGAAAAAGAAAGTCATTGCAAAAACTTAGAAGACGTTTTAAAGTCAGTCTAAAGATACAACATGCACCTCAATCCCACCAAATATTCCTTTGGGGTTTAGAAGGACAGACCCGAACAAATGTCTGATGACCATTGCACTAAAATTTAATCCGCGTGGATACCAAAAAATTTAATTCTTCGGAATATAATGGAAAAGGGACTCAAGATATCAATGACCCACCTGTAGAAATGTCAAGGAAAGGTCAAATACAAGGAATAATTTGACCAGAAACCGACACATTTGACAGTTTACTCTTGGAATTTATTCACTCGGCATTGTCGTCTCTGCCAGGGTTCTCTGCCATATCTCTGATGATAGGTAAGTTAAAATTTCTCTTTATCATTTCCTAGTTCCCTTAACTAACTACAAATTCAAACCCATTACGTGAAGGTTTTTTCTTTCTCTTGTGTATTTCTACTCAGTATTTGATTTTCATGAAAGTATTTTTTTTAAAGATATTTCATCCTTTACTCCAAGTTGTTGATTCCCAAAACATTGTCTTTAAACTTTCACACTATTAATTTCAATGAATTTTTTCCAATTTTTTTCTTCCAATAGTTTTCACATGCTTTCCTAAATCTTTATCAGTTATATCGACAATAATGCAATCAGTGACTCTTCATTATCGCTAGCATAACACTTTTATATTATCATATTATCAATGTTCAGATAGGCACTCCCGTGCCCATCTGTCCATTTTTTTAATGCACATACGCATGAAAATATATATGATGATTTTTCTTTTTAATATCGATTTTAATTAAAATTATATGTATTTGAATTTGTGATATGTGCATTTAAATATAGTTTTTAATCGGAAGTTAAAGTCAGTTTTCTTTTCAAATAATTAATTACTTTCAATTGTGTACAATGTTCAAATATAAAATTGTAGGAGTAGTTAATTTTTATTTGTGTAACTTTTAATTAGTTTTAAAGAGCAAAAGAGAAAAAGAAATAGGCTACACCAAAAAGATATTTTGTCTTTATATATTGTTATAGATGCACTTTTGTATTTTATTTTCCTCTGCAATGCGATGTAATAAAAAAAAAAGAATATCAAAGAAAAATGATGAAAAATGAAACAAATGATAAAAATGAAACGAATTTTTCACTGGCATTAAAACTGGACACTCCTTTTTCTTTTCTTTTTTCTCATTTACATGTGTGACATAAAATTAATGATTTCTTGAGTCATTTTTTTCTTGATGGAACGAAAAGTAAACAAGAAATTAGAAAAAAAAGAAACTACTTGGCAAAATCTATGTTAAGATACTCCATATTGTTGTTCATTCTTTTTCTAATTTGTCATCCCACATTTGTAGCAATGAGTAGTAATAATAGAATGAGTGAATCACCAAAACACTAACAAGGTTGGCCAACACGACATCCTAGGATTCCAGAATACCTTGTAAGTCTTCCAACATAACTTCCTGGTTTAGCTTTGATCATGTCTTTCCTTGAAAATGGTCTGTTCTTTAGCTCTGGTCCGGAGTTTACAAAGAATGCCCCGTTTAAAAACTCGTCGTTGATGGATCTCCATTGCCAGTTTGTCCATATTTTTTCCTCTGTATATTCTCTCTTTGTTACCTCTTTAGCATTGATTTGGTTATTGCCTATGAATTTGTTTTCAGGGCCAATGAATCTGTTACCTTCACTAATAAGAGTAGGATTCATGCTGCCACCAATGGCGTACATTTCCCAATGAGTGTAGTCATTGTTAACACAATGGACAAAACCAAATCTTGCTCTTGGCATTCTTTGTACTAATCTCTTTCCAAAGTGGTTGAATGCCAATGTGATTTGCATTATTTTGTCTTCGGTATATGAGTCACTAGCACCGAAAAGCATCACCTCGTTGTGGTCGGTGAAATGGCTGTTAGATATGGTAATAGCAGTTGAACCCATGATAGCGTCAATCAAACCATCAGTACAATTTCTCATCGAAACATGATCGATCCAAATATTACTAGAACCAAATATGGAAATACCATCACCATCACTCCTAGTCCTTAAACCAAAATGGCTCTCAGAATCTATAATCATGCCACCTTCACGGACTTGAATGTTGTAAATCTTTATTCCATGGATGATAACATTCTTAATAAATTGAATGGTGATTCCGGCTCCATTGGCAATGTAAACATCAACTCCTCTACCATCAATGGTCTTGTTGCTTTCCATAATAAGCTCTTGTTGGAGTATGATCAACATGCTGCGAGCAAATGTGATCCAAAGGGGACCTTTACGAGTAACTGCGTGACGGAGAGTGCCAGGTTTTGGGTCCAACAATTCGTTGTCGGAAGGATCAGTGACAACATAGAATGGACCGCCTTTACCTCCACGAGTGTTTCTGCCGAATCCTTGGACACAGTCTGCAAGTTTCTGGCGATTGTTAGCCCAATTTGGGTCGCACCTCCAACATCTGTCAATCGGGTTTGTGGCCAAACATTTGCCTCCTTTTTCTCCCCTCAAGTTCCTTCTTGTGCTCTTTGCAGCTATGATTCTGTTTGTCAAAAATATCAAACACATTTATTATTTTCTTTTACATAGAATTTATCACACAAATTATAAAAAAAGTGATTTTTTCAATCGTATGAAATGATATGGTATGGTGTGGAGTAATTAGCAAAATGCTCACTCGGAAATAGAAGCAGTAAAATTGCCAGAAACTGCGAAAGGATCAGAAAAATAAGCTGCATGATTATCTTGTTTTGCAATTTGAGCCCTTTCTTGCCAATATGAATCAAACTCAGGCCGTTGTTCTTTCCAATACTCATCACTCTCTAATATATTGGCATTCAATGTAGGAGTCATGATTGCCAAACATAGCAAAAAAAGGAAAATGTCTAGTGATCTCGCCATTTTATTTTTTTATTCAATCTTTTTGAATTATGTTGACCAAAACAGGATTTAAACTTCAAGTATTGAAGTTAACCCCAAGGTCAAATTAATGCAAAAGAAAGAACAAATTGTATTGGGGACACTTGAAAATGATGAGTAAATGAATTTGGCCCCCAACAATGATTTCAATGTTGGATAGGTATATTTATACACCAAAACCAAAGGCCAATTTTGGGTTATGTTAGAAAAACATGGCTTGGAAAACGGTTTGCCTATCTTTGTTAGTGATCATTTTTAAGGTCAAACTTTGTAATGAGTTTTCCTTCACTCAATTGCATACTATTTATAAGATATGCTTGAAGTTATAATTTGTAATTTCATCGTCATAGCCATAAATAGTGTTTATTGTCATGGCCTAATTCTACATGTTAATGAAATGGCTGTTACACATGGTGACAAGGAATTATAATTAAGTTTTGTCATGTAATGCATGGCTACATGATAAAATTTAATTGCTTACTATACTTTAGCTTTTAATATAGCATTTAAATTGCAATGGACTCTCACTAAAGCTTTCTTTTAATGTTTGTCAAAAACTAATGTGAAAGTTAATAGAATATATTTTGCGTTTTGATTTAGAGATAAATAAAATAAATTGCAAAAACGAAACTCAAACGATTTAGGGTCTATTTGTTTTAGCTTTTCTTTAAAATAATTTTTATAATGTAATATATTTTTGTGTAAATAATTTTTACAAAAAAACTTTTCATAAAAGTTTTAAATAAAAATTTAATTTAAATTGTTTTTTTTTAAATTTTATTTTAAGTATTTCATCATTTCATCAAAAAAAATTTTGGATATCAAAATTTCAAAAAATCACTTCATTTTAAAACTATTTCAAATAAATTTTCATAAAAATTATTTTTGAAATACAACTTTTTGAAAAAACTGTGATTTTGACTATGTTTTGTTCTTCAATAATGTATGTTTATGTTATAGTAAGTCAAAATTAGTTTTTTAATTTATAAAAACCAAATTTAAAAAAACTTGTAATATTTTAAAAAAAAAATTGTAAAATTTATTTTCAAAAATACAAAGAAAAAATTTGATTAAACTTAAAAAGAATCTTGTTATTAGATATGCGAGCTCTTAGGTTTTACAAGAAATGAGTTGATCTAACATATTTAAAAATTTACATTAAATTTCTACATTCATATAAGAATTTTTTTTATTAGATCTTTCTTTATATTCTTATATTGATATTGTTGGAAATTGAAAGTATATAGAGTTATGAATCTCATAATACGAAAATAAACAAAGAGATTAGTAGTAAGCTGTTTGGTAAGGATGTCTGCTATTTGTGCATGAGTCGGAACATGTTGCATCTAGAGTTTGTTGGCAACAATTTTTTTCTATATAAAATGGATATCCAATTCTATGTATTTCGTGTGTGTGTGCAAGATTGGGTTATGTGATAACATCATTGCACTGAGATTGTCTGAGATTGTCGCATAAAACTCTAGTTGGTAAGTATGGAATGTGTAGCTCATTAACCAAAGACTTTATCCATAAAAAATTTGCAATTGTGTGTGTCAAGGCTCGATATTATTCCTTTGTACTAGAGCGTGCTACAAGTGAATGTTTCTTGAAACTCCAAGTAACAAGATTTGGTCTAAAATATACACACGAGCCTGATGTTAAACGTCTATCATCTGAATCACTGGTCCATTCCGAGTCACTATAAGCTTGTAATGAGAATGATGGCATATAGATGTTCTGAGCTAAGGTAAGAGCATGAGTTATAGTACTACTTAACTGTTAGATGAAGGCAACTCACTACGCCAAAATTGCTTTTTGGCAGCACTACAAAGACAACGCTTTTTCCCAAAAGTGTTGCTAAAAGTTTAAAAAAAGAAGGTAAAAAAGTGTTGCTAGAGCGGGTGAATAGATCCCTTAAAAAAATTATGATAGATGAAAAAGGTTTTTCAAGTGTTGCCTAGCAGAAGTAACTTAGATCGATTCGTTTAAATCGAACCGCTATCGAAAAGTTGGAAATGAGTATGTGAAAACAAATTGGAGATGCTGATAAGCAACTTTAATCAATATGCTTTAATCTTAATTACTAGAAGGCTACTTAACAAGCAACTTTATTTCCAATAGTAAATCAAACAAAAACACAATAGAAACAATTTATTGAACACCTTGTGTGCAATCAATTATGTTTGAGATTTTGTATAGTTTTGTTGATCTTCAAACCCAACCACAATCAAAGTGGTTATGATCAATTCAATAAAACATTTTTCGAATGATTATAAAAAAAAATCACCAAACAAATTAATCACACAACTGATGAACATGACAATTTGAAAAAGAAATGTAAAAGAGATATATAGATAGAGAGTACACAAGGATTTATTTAGGTAGTTTCCCAATCGGCATCGTTATGGGTACGTCTACCCTCAATTCGAATTCGAATTGAGATCATGTAATTAACCATACTTCGCAAGAGTATTTTTACAAGAGAAATGTGGCAACGCAACCAAACCATAAGCTTGATATTGATCCTAGCAATATCTCTTTCCTTGATCTGAGCTTGATCAAGTCACTCAATAATGCTAATTTGATTCACCGTTTCACACTACTCATTTGCAAGAACCGCAACCATTCAAAACCTTCACTCGATCGAATCTGAATTGCAACCTGTTGTAACCCAAGATTTACCAAGATGATCCACTATCTCACGCAACTCTTTTGTAGTCTCAAATTTCATAGATGAGATATATTTTCTTCTTCACTTTATTATATAAGGAAATTCTCTATTTCATTCCAAAACACACAAAAAACATATTCTGAGTTTTTCCAAATATTTTATTAAATTCTCTTTATAGAATTATGTTAATTTCTCCTCGTTTGAGTTGAGAACTTACAAGTATTGCTTTTTGGATCCTCTTTGGAGAATTATTTGAACTTCTCTTTGTTTGAGAAATCATTTTTAGTCGTCAAATGGCCATTATTGAATTCTCTTTGGAGAATTATTAGAATTTCTCCTGGTTTGAGAAATTATACCAGATACTACGAGTGATATTTATACCATATTCGAATGATATTTGTACCATCAGAGGGTGTATTTCTAGACTAATTGTCGTACCTCGAAAAATACGATCCTTCGCGAATGGTTGCAGAAAATTAATTCGAACAGAGTCGTCACCGAACTTTATTCATTCAAAGAAGAAATATGAAAATATCGATAAAACCTTTAAGAAAATAACATGGTTATCGCAATCCAAATTCTAGGTTCGTGAGTCGATTTTGCAAGGGGAAGGTATTAGCACCCCTCATGTCTGTTGTACTTAACGAGAATTGAACCTCTTAATTTGATCTGTGATGAAAGTTTGCTAATGTTGTTTGTTTTCTTCTAAGCGGATAATGCGAAAAGGTATGAGAAAAAGATTTTGTTTTTTTAAGGGGAAATGGGTGTTTTTATGGAGGAGAGAAACGTCTCACACAAGCTATGCACGGAAAAATATTGAGGGGCGTTGAGCCCCTCAGGGATGCAGAAATCTTCAGGACGGGAGATGCTCATAGCGACCTGGAGGTTGGCTTCCTTGGAGGAAGACACTTTTTCCTCGACCTTTTGGTATTCCTGGGTGTTTGGTCAAAGAGCTTCCTTTCGTTTGGCGAACTACTTCAGATGCCCGTCCCTGATAAGTATTTCGATGGCATCCTTCAAATATATGCAGTCTTCAGTCATATGGGTGTGGATCTTGTGGAAACGGAAATATTTAGACTTATCAGTTTTGGGTTTGGATGATATCTGCTTTGGGAACCGGACTCCTGCCTGCCAGAATTCTGAGTTGGCACACTCAGTGAGGATCGTTTCCCTTGAAAATTTCAGGGGAGTGTACTCGTGGAACCTACCGGAGGGCCCCTTGTTGTCTTGGGGATCACGGTGATGGTCTTCTAGTCTTTTATCTCCCCGACGGGATGTCGATGGCTCTTTGGACCTGGATGGTCAGGCGTTCTCCTTGTGCCTGGAATCACGGGTAGAGCTGCCAGCCTCCCTTTTTTTAGGAGGAAGGCGTCCAACATTGTTGTGGGCCGAATTCCTACAGCTTTAGAAAATTCTATGTGGGGACGGAGCCCGCGTTCGAGCAGAAACTTTTTCATGTCATCGGTTGTAGAAACCTGGACGACCTCCTTATTAAATCTCCCAATGTAGGCTTGCAAGGGTTCATCCCTCCCTTGAATGATGGCCTAAAGGAAGGCTTCAATCTTGGAATGACAGCGAGAGGCCGTGAAGTGTCTAGAGAAGAGTCTCCCCAGTTTTCTCCATGAGGTGATGGAGTCGTCAGGAAGCCCTTTGTACCAAGTCATTTCCCCCCTGTTGTACCCCAAAATTTGCCCAAACTTTTTCTTTACTTGGCTTGTGTTTCATTTCATTTCTTTAGCATTTGCATGTGCATAGCATGGTTCTTTGCAAGGGATCAGGAGAGGTGTACATTCAAGATAAGAGTATCAAGGGTTCCAAGCTCAAGCAAGGGTGTTTAATCAAGTGGTCAAGTGCTTGTGGTCACCAAGAATGGGTCAAAGCTCTTTGAGAGAGTGGATGGATTTGTGTTGCTCACCTTCTATCTTGGAGGCCAACTGAGGATCATCTGAGGATCACGAGCTCATGGATATGGATACGTGATGATGGAGAAGCTCATGGAGAGCTTTTGAAGCCATTGTGGAGCTCATTTAAGTGGTTATGTCACGTGCAAGAGGTTGCAGTCAAGGATTGTACACCTAGGGTTTCATTTGCTTAGTGCAAAGTCAACTGTGGATTTGAAGGAGATTGAGACTTGGTTTTAAGTCATTGGAATCATGGATAGTTGTGTTGAGACATCTAAGATGTCACTTCAAGTTCAAATCAAGGAGAATCAAGAGTGTGAGAAGTTACTAAGTTAGGGTTTCAGAGGTTTGTCAGTGTAAAATCCCCTATCTAATGCCTAACTTCAAGACCACACATCTCAAGATACAAG